TTTTTTTTTTTTTTTTCAAATATTGGCTTGTTTTAATGCCCTGAATGTGATGAGTCACTAAATAAACATTGTGGATGAAAAATATAAGTCATAGTTAGAAATCAGATTGCATCTTACGTAAAATTGGAAGACTTGGGTTCAAAAACGATCTTGCCAGGTTCATTCAGAAGAGTGTTCAGCTGCAGGACAAAAATCAAACCATTCATCAACCTCTGGGGAAGAATGTCATTGGACGTACACCTTTTTGTACTGTTTATTTCTAATGTTTACCGCATTATTGATGATATCCTGCACTTGATGTTTGGTGTTGCCTCTGTGCTCAGGGTCCTTTGGCATGCTGATGTTAACCAGGTTAAACGTAATGACCACAGCATAAGAGGTTTCTGAGATTTCTGTGTGGAAACATGTTAATTTTTATTTGGCAAAATATTGTCATTCATATCAGTTTTACTCATCCCTGTTTCAAAAGGTTTTAAACCTTCAAACATGACACTTACTCTCATAGGTGACATTCACCACCTGCACTGTTGTATGGCATCTCCATCCTGGAAGGTGTAGTCCATCCTGCCATCAATCTGGTTTGAAGAGCTCCTAAAGGAAAAGCAGAAGAGATACTGAATTTGCAAAGTGCTTAAATTCCTATACATAATACAGCTTTATTGAGACGTTTAGATTTCTTTCTTTCTTTCTTTTAAATATTGGCTTGTTTTAATGTCCTGAAATATCATGAAGCACTAAATAAACACTGTGAATGAAAAAATATTATTCATATAAATAAATAAGATTGCATCTTACGTAAAATTGGAAGTCTTCGGTTGAAAAACGTTCTTGCCAGGTTCATTCAGAAGAGTGTTCAGCTGCAGGACAAAAATCAAACCATTCATCAACCTCTGGGGAAGAATGTCATTGGACGTAAACCTTTTTGTACTGTTTATTTCTAATGTTTACCGCATTATTGATGATATCCTGCACTTGCTGTTTGGTGTTGCCTCTGTGCTCAGGGTCCTCTGGCATGCTGATGTTAACCAGGTTAAATGTAATGACCACAGCATAGGAGGTTTCTGAGATTTCTGTGTGGAAACATGTTAATTTTTATTTGGCAAAATATTGTCATTCATATCAGTTTTACTCATTCTCGTTTCAAAACGTTTTAAACCTTAAATCATGAGACTGTGACCACTGCTGAACCAGGTCTGTAAATAAAACCCCTTTGGTTTATTGTACATCAAATGTTTGCAATAAAATTCCTTTTCCATTCTTGATTGTTCTAAAAATTTGAAAACCAACACTTACATGAGATTTGAAGGAGTCACAGAGAAACTGATTGCTGTTTCTGGAAGCACTGTTGTAGTGGTTGGCAGACGTAGCTCATTTAGGAAGCTAACTGGTTGTATGGCATCTCCATCCTGGAAAGTGTAGTCCACCCTACCATCAATCTGGTTTGAAGAGCTCCTACAGGAAAAGCAGAAAAGAGATTGTTTTTGCAATGTGCTTACATTCCTATGCATAATACAGCTTTATTGAGTTTTTTTAGATTTTTTCCTTTTTATTCAAATATCGGCTTGTTTTAATGTCCTGGAATGTCATGAGGCACTAAATAAACATTATGGATGAAAAATATGATGCATAGTAAGAAATCAGATTGCATCTTACGTGAAATTGGAAGATTTGGGTTCAAAAACGATCTTGCCAGGTTCATTCAGAAGAGTGTTCAGCTGCAGGAGAAAAATCAGACCATTCATCAACCTCTCGGGAAGAAAGGCATTGGACCTAAAACTCTTTATACTGTTCATTTTTAATGTTTACCGCATCATTGATGATATCCTTCACTTGCTGGTAGGTGTCGCCTCTGAGATCAGGTTCTTCTGGCATGCTGATGTTAACCACGTGAAATGTGAAGAACACAGCATATGAGGTTTCTGAGATTTCTGTTTAGAGAGAAATGCTACTTTTTAGATTCACCAAAGATCCTGCAGCAGTATATAACTGTTTGATTAATTCTCATTTCAATTTTTTATTTGAAATTCATGACACTTACTCTCATAGGTGACATTCACGACCTTCACTGATTCTCTGATCTGTGACTCTCTGGATTTCAGGAGAGTATTGATAACACTCATGACCTGAGATTCATTGGGGACTGGAGACGAGGAGCTGAATAGCAGTTTGCTTGCCACCGCTGCTGTTGTTTGAGTTGATGCAATTGTAGCAGCTGAGTTTATAGGAATACTTGTTTTAACTCCAGATGTAGTCATTGGAGTCACACTTGTAATTGGCGAAGCACCAGTAGCTGACGTTAACAATGGCATTGTGGTTTCTTGAGTTACAAGCATAATGGTTGGTGCAGTAGTTTCAGTGGTTGCTAAAGACACAGTTGTTTTTGTGCTTTGAGATACCAATGCAGTTGGAGCTGGATTTTGTGTTTCTGAAAGACTAGTCAGAGTCACTGCATTTGTTGTTGCATTTAGCAAAGGTGAGGTTGTTAGAAATGTTTTAGTAAATTCTGATAACATTGGCATGGTTGTGGGTGTGACAAATGTTGTTGCTGCAGCAGTTCTGGTTTTTGTGAAAAGTGGTATTGTGGTTGGAGATATGGTTGTTGTGCTTGGTGATACAAGAGAAGTTGAAGATATTGAAGGAAGTGTTGAGGTAAGAACAGCATTTTCTGTTGCTGGAGGTCCAATTGTAGGTCCTGAAAAAACATGCAAGGATGTGGGTGTCACAGCTGTGGTTGTATAACCTTTAGTGACTGAAGATGGTGTTGGAGCAGCACTTATTGTTGTTATAGGTGGACTTGTATTTGCTGAGGAGAAAGGTGTGGATGTGGGGTTCACATCTGTTACTGTAGAAGCATCAATTGTTGGAGTTACTGCTGTTGTTGGTGGTGCAGCATTTGTTGGAGGTTCTGGAAATACAGGCATGGTTGTAGAATTCACAACTGTGGTTGTAGAAGCTTCATTTGTTGAAGACTGTGCTGTTGTTGCTAGAGCCACATTTTCTGTTGCTGGAGGTGCAGTTGTAGGTGCTGGGAACACAGGCATGGTTGTGGGGTTTATTGCTTTGGTTGTTAAAGGTTCATTTGTTGTTGACAATGGTGTTGTTGGAGCAGCTTTTGCTGTTATTGTAGTTTCTGATGATATCTGAGTGGATGTGGGGTTCACAGCTTGGGTAGCAGAAGCTTTAGTTGTCAAAGACAATGGAATTGTTGGAGCAGCATTTTCTGTTGCTGGAGGTGCAGAGAATACAGGCATGGTGGTGGGGTTCCCAGCTGTGGTTGTATAAGCTTCAGTTGTTATTGCTGAAGATGGTGTCTTTGTTGAAGCAGCATTTTCTGTGGTTGTGGGGCTCACAGCTGTGGTTTTATAATCTTCAGTGGTCAAAGATTGTGCTGTAGCAGCTTTTGTTGTTGTTGTAGGTGCAGTTGCTGAGGATATAAGAGTGCTTGTGGGGTTCACAGCTTTGGTAGTAGAAGCTTCAGTTGTCGAAGACTGTGGAGTTGTTGCTGGAGCAACATTTTCTGTTGCTGGATGTAGAGAGAATACAGGCATGGTTGTGGGGTTTCTGGCTGCGGTTGTTGAAGCTTCAGTTGTTGAAGATTGTGCAGTTGCAGTTGGTGAAGATATGAGTGTGGTTGTTGGGGTCACAGCTGTGGTTGTATAAGCTTCACTTTTAATTGTTGACGATGGCGTCTCTGTTGGAGCAGCATTTTCTGTTGCTGTAGGTACTGAGAATACAGGCGTTGTTGTGGGGTTCACTGCTGGGGTGGTTGTAGCTTTATTTGTTGTTGACAATGGTGCTGTTGGAGCAGCTATTGTTGTAGATTCTGAAGAAATAAGAGTGGTTGTGGGGTTCACAGCTGTGGTTGTATAACCTTCAGTGGTCAAAGATTGTGGTGTAGCAGCATTTGTTGTTGTTGTTGTAGGTGCAATTGCTGATGATATAAGAGTGGTTGTGGGGTTCACAGCTGTGGTAGTAGAAGCTTCAGCTGTCAAAGACAGTGGAGTTGTTGTTGGAGCAGCATTTTCTGTTGATGTAGGTATTGAGAATACAGGCATAGTTGTGGGGTTCCTGGCTGCAGTTGTTGAAGCTTCAGTTGTTGAAGTGTCAGCAGTTGGAGCAGCATTTGTTGCTGTTGAAGGTGTTGTTGTAGATTCTGAAGACATAAGAGTGGTTGTGGGGTTCACAGCTGTGGTAGTAGAAGCTATAGTTGTTGAAGACAATGGAGTTGTTGGTGGAGCACCATTTTCAGTTGCTGTAGGTGCTGAGAAAACAGGCGTGGTTGTGGGATTCACTGCTGTGGTGCTTGAAGCTTCATTTGTTGTTGAAAACGGTGTTGTTGGAGCAGCTTTTGCTGTTGTTGTAGATTCTGAAGAAATAAGAGTGGTTGTAGGGCTCACAGCTGTGGTTGCATAAACTTCAGTGGTCGAAGATTGTGCTGTAGCAGCATTTGTTGTAAGTGCAGTTGCTGAGGATATAAGAGTGGTTGTGGGGTTCACAGCTGTTGTAGTAGAAGCTTCAGTCATCAAAGACAGTGGAGTTGTTGTTGGAGCTGCATTTTCTGTTGCTGGAGGTACAGAGAATACAAGCATGGTGGTGGGATTCCTGGCTGCGGTTGTTGGAGCTTCAGTTGTTGAAAATTGTGCTGCTGCAGTTGAGGCAGCATTTGTTGCTGTTGAGGGTGCAGTTGTAGTCGGTGAGGATATGAGTGTGGTTGTGGGGTTCACTGCTGTGGTGGTTGTAGCTTCATTTGTTGTTGACAATGGTGTTGTTGTGGCAGCTTTTGCTGTTGTTGTAGTTTCTGAAAATATAAAAGTGGTTGTGGGGCTCACAGCTGTGGTAGCAGAAGCTTCAGTTGTCGAAGACAGTGGAGTTGTTGTTGGAGAAGCATTTTCTGTTGCTGTAGGTATTGAGAATACAGGAGCGGTTGTGGGATGCACAGCTGCGGTTGTTGAAGCATCAGTTGTTGAAGATTGTGCTGTTGCAGTTGGAGCAGCATTGGTTGTTGTTGAAGGTGCAATTGTGGTTGGTGAGGATATGAGTGTGGTTGTGTGGTTTACAGCTGTGGTTGTATAAACTTCAGCTGCTATTGTTGAAGATGGTGTGTCTGTTGGAGAAACATTTTCTGTTGCCATAGGTACTGAGAATACAGATGTGGTTGTCGGGTTCACTGCTGTGGTGGTTGAAACTTCATTTATTGTTGACAATGGTGTTGTTGGGGCAGCTTTTGCTGTTGTTGTAGTTTCTGAAAATATAAGCGTGGTTGTGGGGTTCACAGTTGTGGTAGTAGAAGCTTCAGTTGTCGAAGACAGTGGAGTTGTTGTTAGAGCAACATTGTCTGTTGCTGGAGGTGCAGAGAATTCAGGCATGGTTGTGGGGTTCCAGTCTGTGGTTGTTGAAGCTTCAGTTGTTGAAGACTGTGCTATTGTTGTTGGAGCAGCATTTGTTGCTGTTAAAGGTGCTGTTGTAGTTGGTGAGAATATGAGTGTGGTTGTAGGGGTCACAGCTGTGGTTGTGTAAGTTTCAATTGTTATTGTTGAAGATGGTGTCTCTGTTGGAGCAGCATTTTCTGTTGCTATAGGTACTGAGAATACAGGCATAGTTGTGGGATTCACTGCTGTGGTGGTTAAAGCTTCATTTGTTGTTGAAAATTTAGTTGTTTGAGCAGTATTTGCTGTTGTTGTAGTTTTTAAGAATATAAGAGTGGTTGTGGAGGTCACAGCTGTGGTTGTATAACCTTCAGTGGTTGAGGATGGTGTTGGAGCAGCAGTTGTTGTTCTAGGTGCCGTTACTGAGGATATAAGAGTGGTTGTGGGGGACACAGCTGTAGAAGCTTCAGTTGTCGAAGACAGTGCAACTTCATCTGTTGCTGTAGATGTAGAGAATACAGACATGGTTGTGGGGTTCAGATCTGCAGTTGTTGAAACTTCAGTTGTTAAAGGTGTTGTTGTTGTTGTTGTTGTTGTTGAAGCAGCATTTGTTGCTGTTGAAAGTGCAGTTGTACTTGGTGAGGATATGAGTGTGGTTGTGGGGATCACATCTATGGTTGTGGACGCTTCAGTTTCTGTTGATGGTGCTGTTGTTGTTGTTGTTGAAGCAGCATTTGTTGCTGTTGAAAGTGCAGTTGTACTTGGTGAGGATATGAGTGTGGTTGTGGGGATCACATCTATGGTTGTGGAAGCCTCAGTTTCTGTTGATGGTGCTGTTGTTGTTGAAGCAGCATATGTTGCTGTTGAAAGTGCAGTTGTACTTGGTGAGGATATGAGTGTGGTTGTGGGGATCACATCTATGGTTGTGGAAGCTTAAGTTTCTGTTGCTGGTGCTGTTGTTGTTGAAGCAGCATTTGTTGCTGTTGAAGGTGCAGTTGTACTTGATGAGGATATGAGGGTGCTTGTGGGGATCACATCTATGGTTGTGGAAGCTTAAGTTTCTGTTGCTGGTGCTGTTGTTGTTGAAGCAGCATATGTTGCTGTTGAAAGTGCAGTTGTACTTGGTGAGGATATGAGAGTGGTTGTGCGGGTCACATCTATGGTTGTGGAAGCTTCCGTTTTTGTTGGTGGTGCTGTTGTTGTTGAAGCAGCATTTGTTGCCATTGAAGGTACAGTTGTACTTGGTGAGGATATGAGTGTGGTTGTGGGGATCACATCTATGGTTGTGGACGCTTCAGTTTCTGTTGATGGTGCTGTTGTTGTTGAAGCAGCATTTCTTGCTGTTGAAGGTGCAGTTGTACTTGGTGAGGATATAAGTGTGGTTGTGGGGATCACATCTATGGTTGTGGAAGCCTCAGTTTCTGTTGAAGGTGCTTTTGTTGTTGTACTTGGTGAGGATATGAGGGTGGTTGTGGGGATCACAACTATGGTTGTGGAAGCTTCAGTTTCTGTTGATGGTGCTGTTGCTGTCGTACTTGGTGAGGATATGAGAGTGGTTGTGAGGGTCACCTCTATGGTTGTGGAAGCTTCAATTTCTGTTGACGGTGCTGCTGTTGTTGAAGCAGCATTTGTTGCTGTTGAAGCTGCAGTTGTACTTGGTGAGGATATGAGAGTGGTTGTGGGGGTTACCTCTATGGTTGTGGAAGCCTCAGTTTCCATTTGTTGCTGTTGAAAGTGCAGTTGTACTTGGTGAGGATATAAGTGTGGTTGTGGGGATCACATCAATGGTTGTGGAAGCCTCAGTTTCTGTTGATGGTGCTGTTGTTGTTGTACTTGATGAGGATATGAGGTTGGTTGTGGGGATCCCAACTATGGTTGTGGAAACTTCAGTTTCTGTTGTTGTTAAAGCAGCATTTCTTGCTGTTGAAGGTGCAGTTGTACTTGGTGAGGATATGAGGGTGGTTGTGGGGATCCCATCTATGGTTGTGGAAACTTCAGTTTCTGTTGATGGTGCTGTTTGTTGATGGTGCTGTTGTTGTTTTACTTGGTGAGGATATGAGAGTGGTTGTGCGGGTCACATCTATGGTTGTGGAAGCTTCCGTTTCTTTTGGTGGTGCTGTTGTTGTTGAAACAGCATTTGTTGCCGTTGAAGGTGCAGTTGTACTTGATGAGGATATGAGGGTGGTTGTGGGGATCCCATCTATGGTTATAGAAACTTCAGTTTCTGTTGATGGTGCTGTTGTTGTTGAAGCAGCATTTCTTGCTGTTGAAGGTGCAGTTGTACTTCGTGAGGATATGAGGGTGGTTGTGGGGATCACATCTATGGTTGTGGAAGCTTCCGTTTCTGTTGATACTGCTGTTGTTGTTGTTGTTGTTGTTGTTGAAGCAGCATTTCTTGCTGTTGAAGGTGCAGTTGTACTTGATGAGGATATGAGTGTGGTTGTGGGGATCACATCTATGGTTGTGGAAGCTTCAGTTTCTGTTGATGGTGCTGTCATTGTTGTACTTGGTGAGGATATGAGAGTGGTTGTGGGGGTCACCTCTATGGTTGTGGAAGCTTCAGTTTCTGTTGATGGTGCTGTTGCTGTCGTACTTGGTGAGGATATGAGAGTGGTTGTGAGGGTCACCTCTATGGTTGTGGAAGCTTCAATTTCTGTTGACGGTGCTGCTGTTGTTGAAGCAGCATTTGTTGCTGTTGAAGCTGCAGTTGTACTTGGTGAGGATATGAGAGTGGTTGTGGGGGTTACCTCTATGGTTGTGGAAGCCTCAGTTTCTGTTGAAGGTGCTGTTGTTGTACTTGGTGAGGATATGTGTGTGGTTGTGGGGATCACATCTGTGGTTGTGGAAGCTCCAGTTTCTCTTGTCATTGAAGATGACATTGCTGTTTGACCTGTAGCTGTTGTTGAAGGTACATTTTCTGTAGAAGCCTCAGTTGTAGATGCAGTTGACATTGAATCAGTAGTTGTTGGAGATGTAGTTGTGAAAGTCACAGCTATGCATGTATTTTGTTTGAGGGTCATAGTTGTGGTAAGAGATGCTTTAGTTCTTATTACACAAACTTCATTGGCTGTTGAAACTGGTGTTGTTGGTGTTATGGAGGATGTACCTCCACAAACAATGCACCATACATATACTGTCAAGAAAAAAAAAATTTCATTACTGTATTAACTTTTGACCATTTAAAATTCAAATTAGACTATTATTAAATTCCATGAACATTTTAATAGCATTTGATTACATGTCACATTTTTATTTAATTTTATTCTCAACACATAATATCCAGATTAAGAGTATACGTACATATGATGAGGAATACGGTACATCTGGCCTCATATTTTGAAATGAAACACCACCTAAAACAGAAGATAAATCATTTATATTATGTCTTTAATAAATTACAAAACATTCATGTATTCATGCTACTGAAAGCAACTTCTAAATCATTGTGTTTATTTAAAAAGACTGTAATTGTATTTAAGGAGTATAATTATTTGAAGAAGCACTGTTAGTCAATACAAAGTTCTCAGTCAGCCCAGTTTACATTATATGTTAGGGACCAGTTGGACTCTGCATTCAAGGTATATACATTTCTATCAGCTTGCATTCCCTGGGAATCAAACCCATGCACAGTGTCATTCACACAAACACTAAACACCATCATGGTAACACATAAAACTGAAATAATGCAATAAACATTAATTTAACAACATTAGATGTAACATACAACCCTAATGTACAAAACTGATAATAAAAAAAACTAAGAAGAAACATAGTTATTTCAACCAAAACATCAAATTTGAAATGTAACGCAGGGAATTCTGGGAATGTCAATCTATAGTTATTCACTGTAAATTATACATTCTTTTTCTGACTTCCAAAAATGGTATACTACCGTAAAATTACATGTAATGTCCAATTCAGGTTTTCACCGTATATAGTAGGGGAACTTACCATTAACCATTTAACAGGTTTTTACTGTAGCATTTTTACAGTCTTTTACCGTTAAATTCATGGTCATTTACAGTGTTCTTTACGGTTAGAGGAAAGCTGTTCCTGATTAACACAGAGGAAAATGCTGATCCAGATGACTGTGAATTGTTTCGTAACTTTCTTTTGGCATGAATTTGTAGTTTTATCAGCTCTAATCAATGCTCATGAAACATCTGATGTGTATTCATGGTTTTGATATGACTGCCACATGCTAATGCCTGTGAAGTCCACAGCATCATAGGGCAGTGGTTCCCAATCCCAATCAGGTGTGTTTGATTAGGGAACCATTTAAAATATGCAATGTTTTACATGCAGCGGTTCCCAATCCAGGTCCTGGAGAACCCCGAACAATGCACATTTTTGATGTCTCTCTTATCTAACACACATTTGAGGTCTTGGAGTTAATACTAATGAACTGATGAGTTCAATAAGGTATGTTTGATTAGGGAGACATTTAAAATTTGCAGTGTTGGGGGCAGTGGTTCCCAATCCTGGTCTTGGAGATCCCCCAACAATGCACGTTTTTGATGACTCTCTTATCTAACAAACACATTTGAGGTCTTGGAGTTTTTACTAATCTGTTTGATTAGGGAGACATTTAAAATATGCAGTGTTGGGGGTTCTCCAGGACCAGGATTGGGAACCACTGCCATAGGGTGTCCTATTTGTCATTTTAGATTTCAAAGTCTAGATTTCAATGAGCACCCCCTAGTGACTGAATACGTAGCCTCAATGCATACTTTTGCCATCTATCCAGTGTACTACCCAACAGTCTATACAGCATTAGGTCACCAATGTATGAATGTGATGTCACCAGTAATTATTCATAATTACTGATTTAATTATCATCTATTAAAGCTCAAAATGGGTTCGACATCATTCCAGATTGAATAACTGGGTTACTTCAATTTGTGAGATGTAATTTTAATTGAATCTAATTGGCCTCAATTCTATCTGTCTATCTATCTATCTATCTATCTATCTATCTATCTATCTATCTATCTATCTATCTATCTATCTATCATATGTCTGTCTGTCTATCTATCATATGTCTGTCTGTCTATCTGCCTGTCTGTCTATCGGTCAGTCAGTCTGTCTATCATTCTGTCTGTCTCTCCGTTTAACTTTTTTTTTACTCTACTTTTCATCAAACAAGGCTTTGTCAAGCCAACATTCTTGCTTTTCTAGATGAAAATGACAGAATTTTAAAAAACTTTTAATAAAGTTTAATTCTACTTCCTTACTTGGTACCTCGTTTGAAATTTAACTTTAAGAATTGAATTGTAATTTAAAAGGCATTCTTAATTAAATTCTTAATTGCTTTAAAGTTAATACAAGTTTACAACAAATCACAAAAGCAGACACAGGGGCTATTTTAAACATATAACATTTTTACATAGTATAAATGTTGTTGTATTGAATATTATGTATTATTGAGTGCTATACAGTATTATATGCTGTATGATTTCAATCATTTTATATGCAATCATTCACCTACCTCCTTCTGCTGTTTAAAGTCATAACCATGTACACCAAACGGTATT